CTTGCCAGTGCCCACCTTCTTCTGGAAGGTCACCCGGCTGAAGGCGTGCTCGTCGAAGCGGTAACCCAGGCTTAGCAGCTGATGCACGAACATGGCCATGGGGCAGTAGTTGGGCAGGTGGGCCCCTGCCTCCGGTGCCCGGACCTGCAGCTGGGACACAGGTGGGCGATGTTAGGCCCCGGCGACCAGGAGGTCCCGGCCCCAGGAAGTGGGGTGGTGGGGTGGCCAGCCAGGCGCTGCACCACACACACACACACACACACACACACATCCCGCTGCCTCTTCCCCAGGATCCCCCTTCTCTTTGGCCGCCTCTGCAGCCGCCTCCTCCCTGAGTGGGGCAGCGACGCAGCTTCACACCGTACACTGCAGGGCTGAGGCTGTAACGCCCTCCTTGGTCAGAGGAATCCCTCTCCACACACACACGCGCATACACACACGCGCACACACGCACACGCACGCGCGCGCACACGTACACACACGCACACGCGCGCACACGGCAGTGCGGGTAGAAAGACGAAGGCCCAGCTCTAGCTGGTTTGGCTCAGTGGACAGAGTGTTGGCCTGAAGACTGAAGGGTCCTGGGTTCAATTCTGGTCAAGGGCACATGCCCGGGTTGCAGGCTCGATCCCCAGTAGGGGGCATGCAGGAGGCAGCTGATCAATGATTCTCATCATGGATGTTTCTCTCTCCCCTCTCCCTTCCTCTCTAAAATCAATAAAAACATATAAGAAATTACTATTTCTCCACCAAAACCCAGGAAAAACGCAACAATCAAACAAAATCATCAGGAGAGATAAAGACATTAGCATCATTGCAAGGAAAAGAAAATGACAGACTTAGGGTATTGATGAAGGCAACTGGTAGCACGGGCGGCTGGAAGACGCCGTTGAAGGAGCATCGGGAGAAGGGGCAGGACGAGAGGTTGAAGAGCCTGGAGACGAGGCCGCGGCAGGAGGCGGGGTCGCCGCTCCCGGACAGGCCGACCCTGTCACTGCTGTTGAAGCTCTGGGGCCGCTGGGCCGCGGTGCACGGCGACTCGTACACGTCCCGGAGCAGCACGTGAGAGGAGTAGCCCCGCGGCCAGCAGGGGTGAGGGCGGCGGGTCTGGGAGACGATGAAGGTGGGGTTTCATCACCCCACTTTAAGCACTGCCCACCCCAGGCCCCGGGGGCTCCCCAGCCTGATGAATCTCCCACCAGCCCACTTGGTGACGCCACTTCTGTGCTCAGGAGCAATCCTTGGCTCCCCATGGCCCCTGGCAAAAACCAAACCCCTGGCCAGGCACTCCAGGCCCTCTGAGGTCTGGCCCTGGCCCCGCTTCCCTCGCCTGGCCCTCCCCGGGCCCTCCCCCGGCCACTGAGCCTTGGCCCACGCTGGGTCACTCCCCGCCGTGGCTCCCAGGT